TTTTTTTTTTTTGCAGGACCTGAGTTAAGATGGCATCTCCCTCTTTGATCCAAGCTGTGCCCTGGACATTGTCATAGATCTTAGGTTCTCTTGATGGATGAGGGGACTTCTCCTGCTTTGTTTCTAATGACTTTCAGTGTCCGCCTTTCTGTCTCAAAACAAGGCTGGAGGTCAGAGAAGAAACGATGCTTGGCAACATAATGAATGGCTTAGAGAATAAACTGTGAAAACAGAAAGATTTCTGGTTGCTGCCGTGTGCAACGAAGGGCGCCCGGCAATGCATTAGACAATTTCTCTTCTTGTCTGCCCTACAAGAAGTCTCTTCCAGTCGAGTTAGGAAATGGTTTAGATGTTTTATTTTAAACCATCTTTGCTTTAAATGAAACAAAGACAGCATGGGGCCGTCATGGTTTTGCTGCTGGTGAAGCAAATAACATCAAGACTTTTAATGGTTGTTTCCACCAGGTGGGGATGTTGTTCACAAAGTGTCAGGCAATGTTGCTAAATGATTCATGACAGGGGAGGGGGGAAATCATTTTTCCTCAGATGTGGTTTACTTGTTTAGGCCCGAAGGGCTGTTTGTTTATTGAACTGTTAATTATTAGCAAGTATAGAATAAAGGAGTAAACACACCGATGATAATGAGCCCTGTTTCTGCAGAGACAGGCCCACGTTGTGAATGTTCTGCTTTTCATGCAGCGCATCGCTCTTGGCTACAAAAGTGACACGAAGCGCTCAGTCTGCATCCTGCTGATCTCATGGATGACAAGCTTCTTAAAGAAATGTCAGAAATAGAATAATCAGTGGCTACGGGGTTTACTGGGTACAAAGACACAAAGTGGGAGGAAGTGAAAGACATCCTTGATCTGATACATAAAAGTTTGTTTGCAGAGTTTCCCACGAGTTTCAGGTCCCAGATGAAGTGTCGATGCAGCAGCACGAGCATCCTAATCCGCTTTATTTTTCATGACGCACATCAAAGGGTATCCTCCAACAGTTTGCCAAATATTATAAATATTTTTCAATTGTCATAGATTAGCAAAAATCACGAACTAAACAAAGGAAGCTGTTTGTGTTTCATGGTAAGCAATGCTGCTGGGAATTTGTGAAATAATTTGGCTTTAGAACAGACAAATGGTCCTGAGCCAATCCTCTGGAAACATATTTAATAAGGACATTTTGCATCAGTCTTCTAGAAGAATGTTTATGTTTGGCTCATTAAAAAAACACATCACTGCTGGTCTTTTAATGTAATACAATAGTAATGCTTATGAGTGATTTATAACAACTGCACTATTACCAGTTTATTACACATTTACAAAACTTGTTTAACTGTGAAGTGTTCTAGAATTTTTCATTGTGTGTTTCCCATAAAATAGGCATTAAGATGGTTGCAATATTCTCCATCTTTGGTTTCAAAAGCATAAAATGCAAATGTCTTCATAAGCAGGTAAGCTAATGTTTGCAGCTGCAGTTCAGTCACCACAGTAAAGTGATGATGGTATGCTGCTGACCTCAACTCAGGATGCTGTGGTTCGATGGGCAAAGTACCCTTACTCCCACCCTTACCTCCTCGATCCCACCGGCACATCTTCCATTTAGGAAGCAGAGTCTGGGGACGTTGCGTCGGGCTCTCCAATGCCTGGTGCTGAGGTCACTGAGGTGGTCAAAAATATCTTGTGACAAGGCCACAGTTGGGAATGAGATTTGCCCAGAGTTCCTTAAAGGTATAGCAGAAGATGTTTCTGAATTTCAGGAAAGAAAAGCCATCTCCAAATTGTGAAAAAAATACACATGAGAGAGAATGCCCAGTTATCCTCGTGCACATTAAGTAGCTGCCGGCCTTGCAGCACTTCTTCTTGCAGTAATCTGAAATGAATTTCTCCAAATAGCACGCCGAACTTTAGCTGACCCGTTGAGCAGAAAACCGGCGACAGAGTTGTCTGTGGAGAGCCCAACTTTCGCTTTGCGCATGTGCAGGAAGTGAAAACTAACGAGCACGTACGACGACAGGCTTGTGTGAATGGTTCACCAGAATGATTGACGGTTATGCAGACCAACGGTTCAGATGATCCGCTTGGAAGAACAAAATTCTCCGCTATACCTTTAAGGCTCTGGATGTTGTGGGGCTGATTTGGCTGACGCGGCTCTGCCTTATTAGGATGCACTGTTGCTCCTTAACTGGGTGTGATACAAAAAATGTCTAACATGAAGAAATAAGATCATTCAAGCCCTGAAAGCATCACACCCCTGCTGACCTACAATCCTACAACATCATGTCTGGTCCTCTGGGCCACCCTGACCCATCCTTATAACGTGCAGCGCTCTGCATTTCTCTGTTAGGAAACCCTTCTGTCTGACCAATTATTGTTTTGGTGGATCCTGACCCTTATGAATGGGATTATACCAAACAGCTGCAACTTCAGGAGGTGCTGTGACTCCCAAATCTGAAAGCAATGTTGTTTGTTTTTATTTTTTCAAATGTTGCTCATTCTTTATGCTTAAAACTCATTGATGCTCAAAGACTGATCATTATTGTAGCGTTAGACTTTATAGCGTAACGACTGCATAATTACTTATGACCAATGAGATGTGATGATTCCATGTAAATATGAAATATCAACCTGATTGATCTTTGAATGTTTAACCAGAAGAGTTTAGGATTCTTTGCTTGTTCGGGGATCATAAACACACACATTACCATCATCCGCAACATGTTGCTCACTTTGTTGATGCTGATTATTTTAATGTTGTGTAATTTCACAAATAGCTGGTTCTGTTCTACTGAAACTGATACAACCAATCACCAGTCTGCTCCATGTTGGTGGTCATGTTTGTACGGACACTTAGAAAGGTCATGTTTATGCCAGTGATGCATTAGAAAACCAATGTTCACATGTCTTCATGCACTTGAACACCATTTTTAAATGTTCCAATATTCAATTCACACAGATATTCACCTCAAAATATTTGGCACATTAGGAATTAAATAAACATGAAATTTTAGGAAACCTTCTGGAAATTTGAGCTGTGCATAAATTATACGTATGCTCACAGTTGTATTCATGACAGTCTGAACTGCATCTTTTAAGTAAAACAAAAGCCTGTAAGCTTTTCTTCAGAACTTCCTGAATGGCCTCTGTTTAGAGAAATAGTTTAAATCTTTTTCAGGAGTCACAATCTGCAAATCTGCGCTGCCAAGACCAAAGCCTTTATGTGTTGTCTTTAAAAAGCTCTAAGCTGAAGGATTTCACAGCATTACATCTTTCTGAGAAATTATTAAGAGTTTTCTGCCAAAGTCAACTTCTAGATTAAAACACATTTCAGTCAGCCATAAAAGATATCTCTAAAGATGGAGTCAAGGTGGCACAGCAGTTAAAGTAGCTTTCCAGAATTTGTCCCTTTCAGAAATTATGTATGATTATTCAGAAATCCGTAAAAGTGATTATCTCATCATGTACTGTGATATAATGTAAGCAATACGCCTTTTTCTTTTTTCTTTTTTCTTTTTTTTTTTTGCTAAGCACGCCCCCTGCCCTGCAGGGCTCCTCGCAACAGAAAACTGAGCACCAACCAGAACTAACCAATAGCATTAGACTACCGCTTAAGTGCTTCAAATTTAAGGACGTACCTCGGCTGATCCAGAATTGATGAACTTTTCACAGACAAACATGTCTTTAAAATATAAATATACGAGAACACAACATGACATGAAAAGAATACTTGTGAAACGACGTGTTTTAGCTCTGTTTGTCCGCTACAGAAACACATTTATAAACACCAAACGTGAAGTCGCCATCGTAAAAAAAACAGATCCAGAGACTATTTGTGTGATATTTTCATCAGCCACATGATGGTACCATCGGATAAGAGAAATACTCCGGAAAGACACATTAAGTGCTCCCCGTAATCGGAAGGTTGCAGGTTCAAGCCCCGCTCAGGCTGCCGCTGTCGTTGTGTCCTTGGGCAAGACACTTAACCAGCTTTGCCTGCTGGTGGTGTACAGAGGGACTGCTGGCGCCTGTGTGACTACAATGTAGCTCATTACCAGTGTGTGAATGTGTGTGTGAATGGGTTAATGGCTGATTGTAAAGCACCTTGGGGGGTTCCAGGACTCTAGAAGGCGCTATATCAAATGTAGGCCATTTAAAGCAAGAAAGTACAAATGTTTTATTTCAAAAGTCACAGTAAATAATCCCCTCGGTTCCTAAGTGTTAAAAAACTGAAGTTCAGAGCATCTGTTTCAGAATGACGCATGTTATGTAAAAGATTAAAAGCACACTTGGCAGTTTTGCACCCCCTAATGTCTGTTTAGTAGAAACAAAAGTGAAACTCATCTCCTCGCTGTGCATTCGTCTATTTAACACCTTAATCTAACAGCTGCAGTGTCTCCTCAGCCTCCATTAGTGTCTACAGGAGTGGTTCATCACTAAATCAAACAAATCAGCTGTGTTCACGATCTAAAATACACTGCTGGAAGCAGACTGCAGCACCAGGCGTGTCCGCTCTATTTATTCTTCTATGAAGTTACAAGTGTGATATGTTGGCCACAGGAGGCAGTGGGGGGTCTGAGTAACTTTTCATTAACCCTGTACTGGCTCAAGAAAATGATTAAAATAAATGAAAAGGTTGCATTGTATACCTTAAAAATGTTTGCGGTTAGAAAAATTTATTTTGTTTAGATTTTTTAGTTACATTTTTTGTAAACAGTTTGGAAGACAATTTCCGTGCAATAACAGTTTTTTAAGTCGTGTTTGGACAAATCACATAAGGAGGCGATAAAATAGGTTCTGATTCTTAGTGTATTAAAAGAACAAAAATGTGGGGTTTTTTTTACATTTAGATTAAAATACTTTGGTTCAACTGAGGCCTGGTTCATCTACCTGTGTTTTTGTTCTGAGCTCTCGGGCGGTTTTGTTTACCTCCTGCCTACTGACACGTGGAAACAGGAGGGGAGGGAGGTGAGGAGAGTGCGGGGGAGGGAGGACAGCAGATTATTGCAGCATCAGTGGCCGGTGTCCACATCATAGTTCCTAATACAGGAGTGATTCCTTTTCACTACCCTGTCCTCTCTGGTCAGTGTCACCAGCTCTCCCTGCTGCGATCCCAGCTTCCAGCCAGCGTTTGATCATGTCCGTGTCCGACTTGGAGACTCCAGAGGATGGACCTTACGGTAGGTCAAGCTGGACGCAGTCCAGATCGGTCTTTCAAACTAAAACAGGATATTAACTTTTTGTCTTCTATTTGTACGTTCACTACTTTAAATGAGATTTTTTAATCAAAGTAAACAAGAAACGTGTGTTTTCAGTCTTTCTGCAGCTCAGAGTGGAGACAAGGCATTTACCAGCTTGTTAAACTCTTTCTACTGTCACAGTTGTTGTTATTGTTGTTGCCACTGGCATTGTGTAAACGGATTTTCTGACTCACCTGTTTGCATCTCTGTAAGCCAATTAAGATGTGAAGATTTCCTGACACTTATAGCCCCACCATGCCGGCTGCACGTTGCCCGGCGCAGGGCATGCTGGGTAAAAAAGGTGGACAAACGAGCCAACAATGTTTGAGAAAAACCCTCAAAAAAGGAGGGTAGAGTGAAACAAATTCAGACAAAGGGTAAATTCTAAAAAATACATTTTGAACCTATAAATGACTGTTTTGATACACACATTACTGACGTGATTAGACTCAAACTGAGAAGAACATTTTACACTTAACCAGACTGCTTTAACGGGGGTCTAGGCAGTTTTGGCTTGCTTTTAGCACCCCCTAGTTTCCGTTTGTAGAACCAAAAGCAAAACCGATCTCCTCGCTGTGCATTCTTCTTTTTAACACCTTAATCGAACAGCTGAAACGTCTCCTCAGCCTTCATTAGTTTTTACAGGATTGATTCATCACTAAAGTAAAAAAATCAGCTGTGGTAATAATCTAAAACATGCAGGAAATGTGCTGGAACCAGACTGTAGCACCAGGAATGTCATCTCAATTTTCTTCTTAGTCCAACAGACCGAACCGGCTACTCTGAAGTTGCAGGTGCAATATTGTGTAACCCTGTAAAGGGTCGTTTAAGCACATACTGGCTCAAGAAAAATATTTAAAATATGAAAAAGTCGCTAAGTTTCCCTTTAACTCAGATGTCATCATTTTTGCAACTTCTTCAGCTTAAAAGCATGAATGCCCTCATTGTCGCTTCATATTTCTACTTGTTTTGCTTAAATGTTTAGATCTTAATTAATTGTGCTACAGTTTACGCAAAAAATCTCATCCTGACCCAAATAGGACATTTTTAAATTCACACTCAAAAGGTAGAGAACATTACAGCTGTTGGTGCGTGACTGCCCTGGTGAGATTTTGCACATCCGACAGAGGAACTAAGTTTTAATGTGATGTGTTTATTGCCTTGGGACTAAAAAGTTTTTAGGGTAATGTCTTACTTTCTGCAAAAAAAAAAAAATAATTGCAAAGAAAATTGCAAAGTCAGACATAAATCCTTGCATCTAATGAGTTGAAAGTAAGATAATACATTTTTAATAAGGGCCATTCTTAAATAAATTAGTTTTTAAATTGTGTAATTTTTGTTTAATCTACTAGAAATAGTGAACCACTGGTTACATTTCTAATTACTGTAACTGATGTGAAAAGGAAATAAAAAATGTATGCTTGATTTCAAATTATTTTATGCCGAACATATAATTAACAGGAAAGTTTACACGTTTCACTTCTGAACATCACCATTTTTAAAGAGGTGCTGCCTTCCAGAGCGATGAAGATAATGAATTCTGGGAAGCAGTTCATTGAGTTTTTCAGCATCCAACTTCCGTCCTCGTTACATAAAGCTGATCTGGCTGCAGCACAGATGAATGTGGAGGATTGCACCACAGAAACTGATTTAGTTCTGCAGAATGGCTATAGATAAGTCAGGCAGCTACACAGTTATGTCATAACTCCCCTCTTTAGATGGGATAACTGGGGCAATGGCACAGTTCCCTCTGCCCTCCGACCCCCCTCTAGCACGGTGCCCACCCATGCTTTCAGCCGTTCCGCTGATGTTTGTGTGAGTGCACAGCTCATGAACATGCACAAAGTGAGGATTACAGAACAAGAAATTGTGGTGAGATTAGGTGAGACGCTTAGAAATTGTTTTTCTGCAGAGAAACAGGAGGACATGAAAGGGTGAATGGCTAATCTGAAACAGAAATAAGATCTTACGTAAGCAAGCATGCTGTCAGCCTGAGTTAGCTGTGGCCTACTGTTTAGCTCATGGGCCTGTGCACGCCACACACACCAGCATGCACGTCTAAATCCTTCCTGCTCCTTCATCCAGTAAGCCTCTGGGTTCACTCATTCATACAGTTTGCTGTTGATGTTTCCAGAGCTCATCCACACATGAGTGGCACCATGTTTACATCTGTTGGTGTTTCCAGTAACGTATTTGGTGTGTGTGCGTCAGCCAATCAGAATCCTTAGTTTGCCTGCTTATAGGTTTTCTGAGGTCACTTCAGGTCATCTGTGACGTCTGTGAGTCACCAAACGTCAGTGCACATCAACATGCCCATTCAGTGTCCACTCCAATCGGAAGCATTTAAAAAGGAAGCAGAAGAATTTTTATAAATAAAAACATGCAGCAAAATGAAATGAATAAAAATCAACTAAACTGGACAGATGTTTGAGCAATTATCCACAAAATGTGCTAAAAATCTTTTGAATAAATATTCACAGAGGAGATGAGAAAATATCAATATTATTATACTATGGGACAAGGTTTTTGAGAGATGTAATGTGCACATTTCCCCACTAGGTGTCACTATGTCTTCTACACTGCCTCTTTAAGAAGTTACTGTAAGCATGTTCAATAGGCTTTACGTTTTGAGTTAAAGTGCAAAATCATAGTCATTGGGTACATGTTTTACCTCAGCCTGAAAAAACTTGTTTTCCTTCATTTTTGTTATCATTCTGTAATATTTTATATCACTGGATGTAAAGTTAGATGAAAAATAAAAACTGGGGCTATGTCTGCAAATAACAAACTTAATACTCCATCCATGGGAATCATCAGTTGCATGAAACTAAAATGCACATGACTGTTTTCTCTTTTATGACATTTTCATTAAATCTTTGTTTCCATCTCCTTTATTGTATTTTTATTACAGTTATTTGTGTTGTTTTTTTATGAGGGTCCTGGGTCGAGCTAGAGGAGTTGATTGCAGCCGTGAGCCGCAGGGAGAGTCTGACAGGATCTCAGGACAGCATCTCCACTGCCCTTCAGGGGGAGCTAGAGAGGATCCTTCTGGAAGCACAGCTGGAGTGTGAGAGGAGTCGAGACAGGTAATGCTACAGTTGCACTATACTTCTACAGCGTTTAGATGTTTGTTCTATTTTAGTTTATTCTATCTTTAAGCTTGTGTTAATTGTTAAAACCCTGTTTGCTGTCCGCAGTCCTCCTCTAGTGGTGTCATCACAGTCTACCAGTTCTCCCAGACCCACCAGTGAACAGGACAGTGATTGTGTTCCCATACAGGTATTCATTTCCTTAACCTCTTCCATCCTGCAGCCTTGTGCTCTCAACCTGGCAGCACCTTCCTATTGCATCTATGCCTACAGCTCAGTAAAACACTCTTGAAAAGAAAAGTCGCGTCTAAGATCATCCAGTTCTCTCTGGGATGCAGCTACTGCAGAAAAACTGTAAACTGTTTTTGCTAGAGAGTTTCCAAAATGTCTCAAAATATTAAATATTTTCAATGTCCTTGAGCAAATTAAATGGTGTTATTGGCTTGTCCAGGATTTTAAACACATGCAAAAAGTTTTCTAGATTGGTAAATCATTTAGGATTTGGGATCACACACGTGAGTGCGTGCAGCATTCTGGGATGTGCGCAGACGTGTGGATGGCCTTACGAGTGTAAACAAACCATAAAAACAAACAGTACGTCACAGAGAAGAAGCAGATTTGGGTGAAAGGAAGCCTTAAACAACATGTTAAAATCCCAAACATAATGCGGAATATTAATTAATTTATTTATTAATTTATTTATTCGTTTGTTTATTAACTTATGTTTCTAGAGTATAAACCACTTGAGATGAACCATCTCATTTCCAAGTGGGTCCTCTATACAAATCTAAACAAATAGTAAACCAAGATGGCAAACAGTATTTCAATTCCACACACTGAAACCACAATAGTAATAATAATATTAATACAACTTATATTAATAATCATCATAATAAAAATAATAGATAAAAAGTTAAACACTAAATAAAGATAAAAGTGAAAAATCCAAATCAAAAACAATTACAGATGGGTTTTAAATATTCATACAAGGAGATTTTAAACTGATCATACAGAGATACGTTAAATAAAGACATCAGGGAACGATATATGGACAAAATCATTATAGCATTATAAATTATTTGGATCCCTATATGAAAGACCCACGACTGGAGCGCCGACGGCAACTTGTTGCCCCTGCAGCTCTGCATAATGGACATTTTTGGCTATCTTGTTTTTTGTGTAATCGGATGCAAACATTCAGATGACAGGTAAACATTTCATTTGCTGCTTTTTCTAGTAAAACAATCAAAATCGTTATCCCACAGAATAGGTGCGCTCATAGTAGTCCATCGGCATGTGTGTGTAGTCAAAGAGTGTGTGTTGTGTGTGCATGTTGTGACTGAAGGAAAGAAACAATGTATAGAAAAATGTAAACCATCTGTAATATACCAGAATGAAATGACTCCAGAGGGTGATTTTTGGTCTCCTCATAGCTGCGATCCAAGTGAGCCGACGAGACTTTGTTATGCTAGATACTTGGTCTCATGGTTGTGCCTCCAAGCTGGAAAACAGAGAAAAATAAGCCAGTTACTCACTATTATTCCCCGGGCGATCAGGTGTTGCACCCCACAACACAGCAACGATTTACCACAGTTGCGTAATATAATAAAAACATAAGATGATCAGATTTTCTGGCCATAACAAAACTGCAAATAAAGCTTGACAAGTTTGCTAATGAAGACACAATTAAGACATGAGAGTTTGAATATGGAACATGACACTCTGGCGACATCTAGTGTTTAGAGGTGGTAGCTGCCAAAACAGAAAACAAAATATTTTCCAGCAGTTGGGGCGTTGGTTCACTGTTGACATGTTAAGTGACCAGCCACCGCCATGTCCAGTGACATATTGAACAGGGTAAGGACTTGTTTCTACTAGTAAGTTTATCTTACAACAGTATTTACTGTTAGAACATCTTCTGGGCTCAGGATCTGTTGCTTGATTTGTAGAGTCCACCATGTTGCACAGTCCCAGCCTCGCGTTGATGAGCTGACTTTTTAGCACAACAGTGCCCCCTAGTGGCTGGTAGATGTAAACATAAACCCTGTGTTGTGCCCGTATATATGTCGATGGTTGTGCCTGACAAAAATTTTTTATTTCATTTAATTTAAATATAGCTTTTTATTAATTGTTCACCTTTAATAAATAAATAGTTGTGCTTTTTATTTATTATATCTTTGCTATTTTAACAAACATTTGTGTCATTTTTGTCTTGTATTTTTTTTATCTTATCTGTTTTTCTTTGATGTAAAGCTAACTGCGTGTCTGTTGCTGCTACCTCTTGGCCAGATCGTCGTAAATGAGAATCACTTCTCAATCGACTCATCTGGATAAATAAAGGTTAAATAAATGAAATTGTTGTATAACTCCAAGTTTACATGTTTTCTCACAAAGTTCCATGCCTGCACCTTGTTGCATAATAGTTTAAACTGTGCCATCACAGTTTCCCACTTTTATGTGCAACCTTGCAATATTGTGTAGTTTTTACTATTAACAGCAGAAATAGCTCAGAACGTAAAGCGGGTTGTCCGGTAATCGGAAGGTTGCAGGTTAAATCATGGCACCATCCAGGGAATGTTGCAGTTGTGCCCTTGGGCAAGACACTTAACCCAGATTGCCTGCTGGTGGTGGTCAGAGAGACCGGTGGTGCCAGTGTTCAGCAAGCCTCGCCTCTGTCAGTGTGCCCCAGGGCAGCTGTAGCTACATCGTAGCTCATCCCCACTAGTGTGTGAATGTGTGTGTGTGAATGACTGATTGTGATGTGAAGCGCCTTGGGGGGTTGTGGAACCCTAAGAAGGTGCTATACAAATGCAGGCCATTTTTTACCAATTCACCAATTAATTTCTGGAAAAATCCATCGAAATGTTATTAAACACGTATAAAATGATGGCCAGTTGTTGAAAAGTATTGGCGGCTTTGTAACATATAACCAGAAAAATCGGGTCTAAAATACATGGGAGCCTCTAAGTCTCTGGGTGACGCCAAATTAGACGCCATATTTCCTTCTACAGGAGCCCGTGAAGACAAAGCACAGTTACTGATTTGTAACAAAAGTTTACAAAACTCTCGCCATTCATGAATGTTTTTTTTACCCATTTATCTCTTCACTCATTGCCAGTGATGAAAGAGTCTGATGCTGTTACCATTTTGCTGGAGGTTGCGCTCCCAGGAATTTTTGACCCTAATGACCCTCTGTTGGTAAGGTTTTACTCAAACACAAAAATACAGCTGATTTAGGTATGTACTGCCCACTGTCGCCAGGGAAAATACACACCGTCATCCGCAAAATTACCACATCGCTATTCTGCATTAATAACTCACACCATGGCGGCATTTCAAGGCTCGACTACTGCAATGCACTGTATGCTGGCCTTAGTCAGGGTGCGGTAGCACGCTTGCAGTTAGTACAAAACAGCCGCTAGGTTTGTGACAGGCAGTAGGCGGAGGGAACCTATCACCCCTGTGTTGGCATCCCTTCATTAGCTGCCTGTGCAATACAGGGCAAAATTCAAGGTCTTGGTACTGGCATACAAGGCCTTACACGGAACTGCTCCAGCATATCTTGGCAACCTTTTGCACGGGCATGCCCCCTCGCGGGCCCTTCGCTCAGCCGGCAGGGAGCTGTTGATCGTTCCACGCACTAAGTGCAGGTCACGGGGGGACTGTGCTTTCTCTGTGTTGGCACCTGCACGTTGGAACCAGTTGCCTTTGGTGGTACATCAGTCACCCTCATTGGGGTTTTTTTAAAACTCGCCTTAAGACCCATTTTTTTTGTCAAGGCTTTTCAGGATTAGCTAATTTTACCCGGTTCTTAATCTTTTTCTGGATTTTATTTTTTGCTTTTACTCTCTTCTTTTAATTGATTTTATGCTGGTTTTACGATTGTTTTATTTTATTCTGATGGTTTTATGTTTTTATTGTGTTGTGTTCAGCACCTTGGGCGTCTGCATTGGTCGCAGAAGGGGCTTTATAAATGAATGAAATGAAATGAAAGGAAATATTTGCTGGCATGGTGTGTCTTCTAAAAAGGGCTAAGGAGAGGAGGAGAGTTTAAATTTGAACAGCAATCGATCCTGCTTCTGTTTCCCCTCCGCTTTTGGAAGAATCTAAAGGCCACGCCTAATTACCGTACACCTGGTGGAGTCACCAGAAAGGTAAAGCAATAGCCTGATGTAGCATCATTTTTATTGGATGTTTTTTGTATGTTTTTCCAGGAGGAAGCTGAGAGGCGAGCAGACACAGAATGGGTTTGGAATTGGTCCAGTAGACCTGAAAATGTGCCTCCAAAGTAAGATTCTGTTTATCCACAGCAGGACTGCTGAGATTGAATCGTATTTTACTGAAACGACTGTGATCAAAGATTATTCATTAAAAGATTGTTTGTACAAACAAACAAACAAACAAAATGTGTTATTGGGGAAAGTTTAAGCTTTCAGATAGTAGGATGTGAAAAAAAACATCAAAAATGAATAATTAATAAAGTTTTGTTTTGTTGTTAGAAGTACTTGTAGGCCTGGTTAACTTGTGAAAACATCACATTTAAAATTCTCTTTCAGTGTGTTTGTTTGGTTTAAATCTTACATCACATCATGGTTTTAGCTTTCATTGCATATCCTTTTACAGGCTTGAATCCTCCTTGTTTTTATTTCCCCTTCTACACCTGGCGTTAAATCTCTCACATGTAGAGGTTCTGACTGGTCCCACTGTCAGTATCTTCCCCTTCGTCAATCTCTATATCTATACTTCTTCCCTTTCAGTCTTTGATCCTTTTGCATCTCAACTCAACTCAACTCAGCCTTTATTTATAAAGCACCTTGCAGTCATGAGCATGCCTTTTGCATCTCTTATCCCTCTCGACTCCTCGCTTCTGTCTTTGCAGAGAGTTTGTGTTTCAACACCCGAAACAGCAGACTTCCCTCAGCGTTAGGAAGACCGAGGTGATGAAAAGAGGAATCTTCTCATCTGATGTTCTTCTCATTCTTGTTCCCTCACTTCTGGCTTCCCATCTGCTCACACTCGGAGTCGGGTGAGATACGGGACTTAACCCAGACTGGTTAAGGGAGAGGTTAGCAGTGTCGGGATCAAAGTAGCAGAACTCACATTGTGAAAATGTGCTGCTAGTTTTATTTATCTATTTAAAACAATACTATTTATTTGCTTTTGCATGGAGGAATGCCATAATTCTGTCATGCATCTTATGTACAGTAATTAGTTTGGGTCAATGTGTGTGATCCTCAGATATTAAGGATGGCTAAATTAAAGATCTACTAGAGTGGTCTGCAACCTTTGCAAACCAAAGAGCTTTTATTTGTCATTACTCCATTTAACTAAAACTTCTTATGCGCCGCAGCTGTGGCCAGGCTTTACCACTGGATAGGTGCATTTCCACCAGGCGACTGCGAAATGTCCTAGAAGTGTTGCTACAATTAATTTTTACGCTCTACGCTTCCAGAATACTTAAAGCGTAACAGTTAAGATCAGGCCAGAAAGGAAGTCAAATATAAAAACAGTGTCAAATATACAGAAACTTTCAAAATAAAAGTCACATGTAGAATTTCAGTTGCTTAAGTATTAAAAAAAAAAAGAATGTCGTAGCTAGGTAAAAAAAAAAACAGAAAATGAACCACATACCTTTTAGGATACATGTTGTCATCTTCGTCTTTGCTTGTTGTAGCCTGAACTGCCGTTTCACATCTGATATTCCAGGTGGGAAGAGAACTTGTGGGTTAAACAAACTACTTATGCATCCAGTGGAAAGGCTGGGAATAGGACCTTTTGAAAAGAGACAATTTATATATTTTATTAATTATTTACTGAAGAGGATTGGGGCCTCTAAAAAAGCTGTCTTTATTTCTCAGAATTCTGAGATTAAAGTCAGACATATTGTTTCTCCTCTTCTGTAATTTTCTATTTGAAGAGATTTGTTGTCATTTTTTAAAAGCCACCATTTTGTTTCTATCATCAAGTTTTAAAATTTAGAAAGAGATTAACTTTAGCAAAAAGAGTAGGTATTTTTTCTCCTGTGAAATGTGGATGCTTGTGGAAACTGATGTAAAAATATAGATCTAAAAATATTGCTGCTACTTTTAGTGTCATTCCCTTATAGAATTTTTATGCAAATGTTCCATGAAAAAAGCTGCATAAAGCTTCAATTTGGGTTATATCTGTATTTAAAAACATTTTTTAAAATATTTTTTAGTTAAAATTATTAAGAGCCATGTTAGCTCCAGAGCCACAGGTTGCAGACCACTGGTCTGGGAGAATAAATGTCATTTGACAATATAAAAAGCCTTTTAATAAAAACAACTTCCACTAGGACCATGTGTTTTTACAAACAAATGATAGAGGTTGTGTTACGTTAATGGAAAATTACAATCAACATCATTTAGCATGATTACTCATTGAGGTTGGAAACAAAGAGTTCACATTTTTAGTAGACCTGGCTTAAGCAGGGTGACAGTGAACAGATAGGAAGTGTTATTTTATTTTTCAATTTTTTGTATTTTAATTTCATAATTTGTTTCCCAGGACTTATGACGACTGGAAATAGATTTGTGTAAAAAATGTCTCTGGCTGTTGAGTATGTGGGGGTTGTATTAAAATATGTCTCTGTTGTAATCTGCCACCGCTGTGTTTTGCTGTTGTTCTGTCACCTACACACACCCAGCTTCTTGTGATTTTAGCCTTTAGAAGAAGGGAAGAGTGTGTACTATTTGGAAGGCATAACAAAAGAAAAGATGTCTTAAAATGCTGAATATTTTTATAATCAATGGGACCTAGATTAAAATTATGCGATCATGCAGTCAAATACACCGACAATTTGTGAGAGGAGTTATTTTTAGCAGCACACATTTTTATTGTCTGTTCTTTCCTCTTCTCAGGATCTACATAGGAAAGCGGCTGGCTGCTTCCACCACCAGTACGCTGTAAAGATGGCTGATCTTGGTTGCTAACAGTCTGCCCAACGAGGTCACAGTTCACCCTCCTCCCCACACTAATTCGCCTCCGTCCCTCACCACGGAGCAAACATAGGACCTGCCTGTATATCCCTCTGTCTGTCCAGCTGTGTTTAATTTTTTCGCTCAGTCTTTCTTGTCAAATGTGCTTGTGGTAGAGCTCAAGGAGCAGATGGATGCTGACCAATGAGTCGGACTGAGGTCAGTATCACATTTCTGCAGAGTAGCACTGATCTCAACAGGCTGAAGCCCAATCTCAGGGAAGGGATTACCCAGAAACGAGAGCAAGAGGAGAATAAGAATGATGCAGCACTTTGATAAGAGGAGAATGGAACAGAGTGTTCTGATAAAATCAAATAGATGATGGTATTCTCCCAATCTCCGATAAAGCAAGATGTCTGTCATCTGTCCAGCGTAATGACCCTTCGTATGTCTGAGCTGCTACAAGGGGCTTTGGGTTTTTACCTTTGATGAGTCTAACGTAGACTTTCTAGCTGGCTGAGTGAATGTAGGGAGGGTTGTGATTGCACTCTTTGTTCCACAGACCAATTAAATATTTGACCTCTGACAAAGACAGTCATGATTCCATTAAACGTTACTCCTCAGAACCTAAATGTGCCTCTCGGGTCTTTTATTCCTTTGCTTCAACATTCATCCTGGCTGGATTTGTAGCACACATGTTCATCTCGTTAAACAAATGAAGGGAACGTAAAGCGCTTCGAGCAAGCCAAGCACAAAGTTCTGCTGAAGTAAGCTTTGGCCCCCGTGTGAAATGTATTTTTAGTTTGTGGTTTTGGTAGTCTGGAGGTAATTTGTATGCAGTCATAGACAACAAAAATGAAAGCATTTTACAACCAACTGCACTGTTAACGACCTGTAAATGAACCACAGCAGCTGTTTAATCTTTATTCCTGTTTCCGTGTGAGGTAAATCCCTGCAAATGACTCTGTTGGCTTGTTCCGATGACCTGTGTGTGTGTGTGTGTGTGTGTGTGTGTGTGTGTGTGTGTGTGTGTGTGTGTGTGTGTGTGTGTGTGTGTGTGTGTGTGTGTGTGTGTCATGTCTAACGGTAGTGCACAAATCTTATGACATCACACCATCCTTCTGCATTTGTCATTCTTTACCTCACACAAATCCTTTTTTTAAAACAAGCTGCTGCTTCAAACCATCATGGATTTAAAGTTTTATTGCTTTCCTATAAACTAGAAACCTCCTTAACATCTCGTGAAAATGCTCAGCTGCAGGAGTTTGAATGGAGGCTTTTGTCGAGCACACCAAATGTAAACATTTCCATTTGTTGTTCGACCCGGCCAGGCCCAATGAGTTTATCAGCCTTCAGCACAGCGTTTGATGTGAAAGGTCCTGCTGAGCTTGTTAAGCCACTTTGAGACACACCAAGCTGACGATGCAACATCAGGCCAATGCAACAACAACCACAAAGCACCTGGTTTCCATCCACAGACAATTACAATTAAAAATACCGTGCACACGACATTTTAAAGTAAATAGTTTTGGCAGCTTTTTACATCAAAACAAAAACAAAAAGATCTTTCAAGATCTAAGATGACGGTTGTTTTTGTGTTGCTCATTTACTCCTTACATGTTTCCAGTAATCGTAATGTTATTAGTGATCCATGATGATGATGCAAATCTTTGTTGTATTTTATTTTGTTTTTTTCACCTTGATTATTGAAAACGCTTTAATCATTCTGCTATTTTGCACCATGCAGCCTCTACAGTAGCCTTGAAGGGACAAACCAAAAACTGGATTTAAAAGAGGGGTTTTAAAGATTGTTTTATGACAGACCACACACAGTAAATAGGTGTACGCTGTTCAAAGATGTGCAATTGCTGTTGTATTCTCTTGATTGAATCAACTGAAGAACCTTAAAAGTCTGAGGAGTCACACTGAGGTTTATTTACTGAAATGTTTTTAACTCTCTCCGGCTCAAAATAAGTTTTGATAATAGGATGAACAACCAAGTCCTTCAGGGCTAATTCTGAGTTAAAAACTGCTCATGAAATACGTTTGTGGAGTAACCAGGTAGGTAGGTTTTAATCAGAATCAGAATCAGAATCAGAATGAATTTTATTGCCAGCGCTCCAGCGATCCAGAACATGGGAACTTGACTCCACAGTACAGCCTGACCAAGATAACACACACACATATAGACAGGACAGATACAGGCAGACCACGAGAGCAGCCATGATGGCGCTTAATGTTGCAAACCTGCAACGCCTGCCTCCAGAGGGTTAAACCAGCAACAGTCACAGCAATATGGTGTAAAACTACCCTGAAATGTATGTGTGTACTGCTCCCTAGAACTAGGAAACTACACACTGTCACGTTAAAGGTGCAGGAAGCAAGAATAGGATTGTGTGGTCAAATTTGGGTACTGCAGTCCACGTATCAAAACAAACGAGTCCGCTTCAAGCAACAGTTGCCAGTTATTGATCAACACCAAGAAGATTCTAGATGACAAGCAAAGACGAGTCACACACAGTAAGTTAATACGTACTTTTTGCACGTTCATTCTGTGTGTTTCATTCAAAAACATTACAGTTTTTTGTTAACACAGCAAAACTGTTGTTTTTTTCTTGACTGCGGACGTTTCGGCTATCACTGTAGGCTTCTTCAGAGCTTTGTCGCTGTTCCCGTCACTTCCTTCTCCACAAACAAGGTAAAAACATCACTTTTGCTGTGTTAAAAAAGAACTGCAATGCAGTAAAGTTGATATGTAGATAAATACATTTCACTGTAAAATTGAGTTGTTGGTATTTGAAAAAAGTAGCTTGAGATATCTTTAGAGCCAACTCTATTTTTCTAATTCACTGTGAGCATTGTTAGCTCAACGTTAGCCTCTAGCCTACGTTACCCAATGTTGAAGAAAAACAAAAAGAATGCCATGGCTTTTTTTTATTTTTTTAGAGGCGAAAAACTCACAACCCCAGAAGGAAATCTGTTGATTTTAGACCTTTTTTTTTATTAGCTCACTGTAAAATGTTTATTTAAAGTTTAATTTAATGTGTGAATTTACCCGACCAAAAACAAAGACATCCAAGTTAATTTTATCGTGCAATGTGGTGAAATGCATAATTGACTTTTTTATTTTTTATACCCATTTCCAAGCTTTTGAAGCCCAATCCCATTCCCTTTCTCTTAATGAATGAACGTAGGGATTAGGAAAGGCAGAAATGCATTTAGGGATTGTAGTCTTCTCTGTAGTTTACATCAACGTGATCTGGATTGTCAGTCTGTCAGTCTAATGTGTAGTAACTTCCTGCTTCATTATCCCTCCAACCATTTACCCTTTGCTTAAGACAAGCCGCCAGCCACAAGTGGACCAGTTTGGTGTAAATCTTCGTGTTCTTATGTGGTTACATCCCCTGTTGCTGTGATCTTCTGTGACTTCTTCACAGCAGGGGGCCGCGTTAAGATCTGTCAACCCTGCAACTTCCTGCCAGAAAGAAGAGACAATTATACAGAGAGCAACCTTAAACACCATCTGTGATGTTCCACAAGTGTGAAAAAAGTCTTCGAGATACATGTGGAGCACTTTGTGTTGTGAAAGAGAAATTCTGTGTCAGAGGAACGGGAAAGCGGTGACACAATTTGAAATAAATCTACTCATTTTCTGGCCTTGCACATCTGTCTCTCTCTCTCTTTCTCTCTCCCTGGGAAATACATTATCTTCCCACTTCTGCACCACTAGACAGGAAAATAGTAAGTTTCAGTTTCAAAGAGTTTTGGATGCAACAAATGAATATAGCTGAACTGGCGCGGCGGCATCTGTGACTCGACATTAAAACATGGGCACTAATACAATCTCAAGAAACTCCACTTGACCACATGGTGGCTGTGGCCCACTTCTCTGCCAAAGCACTTATTTTGAGGAATAGTGGGTCATAATTCTATGTAAGAGCCTGACAAACTCCTCCATAAATATCAGACATACAATTGAACGCACAAGACCAAAGCAGTAAACTCCAACTCTATGGAGCTAGGATTGGAACAATATTACAAGTAACTTGTAACAGTAACTTTCTTTTTGTAGCATGTAATTCACATTTTATAGCACGGTACTTTCTTTTGTAATACATAATTCTCATTTTGCAACACGTACCTTTCATTTAGAAACATGTAATTTTTGTTTTGTAGCATTTGCCTTTCAATATGCAACGTGAAACTCTCAAAACACAGATCTGTCTACAGATACAAAAGTAACATGTAAAAAACATGTTTTCCCAGTTCTAGCTTCCTTTTTCCAAATAACCAATTACAGGTTTTGTCTTATCAGCCAATCATGTGTCTTGGATCCAACAACCAACTCTAGTTCAAAATATAAGTTCTTAAGCAGTTCTTAAATTAATTAATCGGTCATTGGTTCTTTAGGAAAGGAAGCTAGAATTGGAACAAAATGTTTTGTAACACGTAGATTTAAGTTTTGTGACTGTAGACTGAGATGTTTGTTTTAGCTGTAATTTGAAACTTAAACTTATATTTTTTTGTAAGTTAGAAAATGAAAGTTTCATGTTATGTAACAAAAGTTACATGTTACAAAATGAGAATATGTGTTACATGAAAGTCACGTGTTACAAAACGTGAATTGCTACAAAATATGAATTACCGTAAATCCTCTAATACAGGCCCGGGTCTGTATTTGACTCAAGCTCATCAAGCTCCAGGCCTTTATTGGAAGGAGGGCCAGGATTAGAGGCAGGCCTCAATTTCTATTTGAGCAAAATGAACTAATGGTACGCTGGAGTTTTTGACAATTAAAATTGCGCCCACATTTTCAAAGTTAAACACATTTCTTTTAACAACGGTAGTTTCTGCTTCAGCCCTCTCCCCCTCCCCCTGCGCAGCGGCCGCAAACTCACTGATGCGCCTGCAGCCTCTCGGAGTTCCTGCTGCTCTAAACATTAAAATAATTATTTCATTTTCTGGTCCTCACTTCTGATTACCTTCAATGGTGTCTGTTTGTTGCAACCACCAGGTACAAAAACTAACTTGTTTTTATTTGACTATTTTTCTGTCCTGTCTGTTTATTATCTTCCTGCATCTCCTCTCAGTCCTAAAGAGAAACTGCTACCTGGGTTCGTATATATTCACCTTATGAGTTACCTTTGAACTGCAGTTCTAAAAGATCTACCGACCGCAAAAGCAGCGGAGTGCTCGCTGCTTGGTGGCCGCATCAGTGATCGGTGCGTCACCGGATGACAAGGTGATGCGCCCCGCTCCACAGCAAAACACATCAGGCGCAAATAAAAGACAGAAAACATCAAAGGAAATGAACCGACATGAACGATCGCGTGTTAAATTAGTTTTTGAGGTGGCGACACCTGATTTTATAATGTTACTGTGGCCCTGCTCAGGACGCAGATCTACCGACCGCAAAAACAGCGGCGTGCTCCCTGCTTGCCGCCTCAGTGATCGGTGCGTCACTGAGGCGGCAAGGAAATGAACCGACATGAACGATCGCGTGTCAGTACCGACGCTCTGGCACAGCGCGTTGCCACCCCCACCCCCCCCCCCACCCCCACCCCCCCACCCCACCCACCCCCCGAGCGCAGGAGCTTGTCACCTGCTGATAGCAGGCTGCTGTCTTTTCCGA